TGAACTAATAAGAGGGGGAAACGTCGTTATATGATCACCAAGGTTTTATTTAGCAGAGCTGCATGGAAGCCTTGCTGGTACAAAGCCGAATTCAGGTTGTCCAGCTCTCCCACCCAGCTCGCCGGCAGTGGCCCAGCCGCTGCACGCAGCATCACGAATCGGTGACAGAGACAAGCTGATGGGATCGGTGGTGCTTTCATCCTCCGGGCAAAGTTTTAACTAAGGAGAGCACCCGAAACTTGCTGTACCCGACAAAAGAACTCACTGCATCAGCTTCACAAAGCACTGGAGCTGGAGAAAGGCACAAGTGCCTCGGAATCTCAGGGCTCTGAAAATGAGAAAGACAAAAATAGAGGGAAATTTTATCTGTCTAGGAGGGAAGGCTTCAGTATCAAACATCAACATCAACAGCAAAACAGTGATTTTAGCATCCTCCAATTTCTCCCCAAAGTGAAGAGTGTGACGTAACTGTGGTAAGTCCCTTATTTCCCCTTTCTCTAGTTACCAACTCTCCAAAGGATCAAGAATTCACACTCAGTGAGACTCCTCAGCAGGGATTCTTTCTTGCGGTGCCGGGAGGCACACGGGGATGTTTCCACAGCGTGTGCTCCCCTGGGCTGTGTGTTCTGGTTCTATGCAGTCGCTACAGACACATTTATTCCATTTCCCCAAAATAATTATTGTATCTCCTCCTATTGTAAGAACTATTTCCATGCTCATTTCACTTTCCATTCTGCCATCTTTATCGCCGTCTACTGCCAGTTCTTATTCTCGCCTGTTTTAGTGGTCACTGGATGCCCCTGGTGGTTGTTTACTTCATCACCGCCCTTCCTCTTTGTCCTTTCAGTGACTTCTCCATCACTCGGCAGATCCTGCGCTGAGCACTGGCTGCAGTTCCATAAGGTTCTGCCTGGAAGCAGCTGTTCTGTCCCCCCTTCAGTCCCAAGTTTTCTTTTCTATAAAGCAGCTACTGAGCTCAGCTAATTCTGCTCTCACGGCCATATTCCCACACTCTGCTCATGTCTTCCATTCTTTATTTCAGCTGTGTCTCTGAGTCGTGCCCCCAGGCTGTGGAGGTGTCAGTTCAGCACAGAGGGACCTCCTTAGAGGAGGGCATAAAGAGCTTATCCTGGCTCTGCAAACTGGCTTTCAAATCCCGATGGGAGCTCAGCAGGCAGAAACGTTATTCGGGTTGGAGGGGAAACGTTTGGTCCCCATGTGTTGCCTGATCTAGTCGAGAGGTGGCGTCCCTGGCGACGGGGAGGCTGGATTAAAATGATCTCTAAGGTCCCTTCCAGCTTAGGCCATTCTATGATATGATTCTATGATGCTGGTGGGGACCCTCGTACTGCAACTTCACCTCAAACCAGTCTGTGCAAGATGATTTGGAGGGCAGAGAGGGTTGTGTCCATGTGGTACCGTGACACGCGTGCTTGAAAGTCCTGGTCAACCTCGGCAAGGGGGAGCTGCTTCTCTGTTTTTCTCAAATCTACCCAGAGCTTTCAGATGTAATTGAGGGACTTCTCTTACAAGGTGCACTGGCACTCTGGGAAATGAACTGACATGCCAGAAATAGGTTTATGGGGTGCTTAGGATCACTCAGAACATTCCAAGAAAACGACCACACTCTTTTGGTTTTGATTAAAAAGTACGAAAGCAAAGCTTTTTCTAGGCTGCAGAGAGGGGCTGGCGTGGACTTGGACGCTTTAGTAGAGCGTGAGTTTGAGATGGAAATGCTTTCTCACAGCGTGGATTGACAACACGGTAATTACTGGGGGAATGGGGAGGGAGGAGAGAGGGTTTCGGTAAAACACCCCCAAGCTCCAGCGGATACAGACCTGAGACAGATTGATTCCCAAGTGTTTCAATTTGTGCTTCCACTCCTTCACTTCTCTTGCAGTCGTCGTTTTGGCAATTACCAGCAACATTCGCCAAGACTCAACAGCATCTGCAGGGCAGGCAGCTGCCGAGGTGACTGTGTCGGATCAGCCCGCTGCCCTCTCTTTTCCACGTCTGATGATTCTCACCCTGGGAGAAGCAGTTTGAAATGATGCACACCCTCGGGCTCCCTGTGAGGCTGCTGACAGCAGCAGCAGTGGAGCCCAAGTTTGGGTGGGACTCTGCCACTCACTTTCCTTGCATACCTGCCCTGTGATTAAAAGTTACTCCCCGGAGCCCTGCTGTGGCTGCTTTGGGCCTGATCCAAAGTCCTTTCAAGACAATAGAAAGTCTTGCAAGAGCTCTGGCTTAGGCAATCTGAGGGCAACAGAGAAGCTGGGCTTGCATGAATTCTTGAGTTTCCCAATCAATCAGTTGGGAAGAACATAGGACTCAAGATTTGCCTCCCGGTCTCTTGCTCAGACCTAACGCCGCCAAAGGCAGAGCTGTCACTGACTACCCTGCAACTGGGAGAGACTGGGAAGAAAGGGGAAAGTTGCTAAAGGTCCCCCAGTGGTGCTGTCGTGTCCCTGGGGCAGCACAGAGCAGCAGCACCAAAACGCTCTGCTGCACTCAGAAGTGAGTTGGACCCATACAGATGTTTTATGTCAAAGGCTGCTCTTGCGTTCCACACCTCGGCACAGTATTTCCTCACTGCCTTCCTTCTCGCTGTGACTGGGGAGTCAGCAGTTGACCTGTCTGATAGGTAAACTGAGCTGTCTGGTTCTTTCCCTGCTGCGGGCGCGCAGCTTGTGCCTGCGCCGAGCTCACCCCTTCTCCTTCAGCCCTTCAACACCCCAGTTTGGTTCAGAGAGAATGAGTCTCGGTCGTGGGCTCTCTTTCCAAAATTCCAGTGTGAGCTATCAATCTAGCAGTCCTGTGTCCCAGTTTATAATAATTCACTCAATTTTCACTGACCTTACACATTTAACGAATCCCACCACTTAAAAATAATCTGGTTTTCTTTTTTTTTTTTTTTTTATATTCAGAGTTAATAGCAGAATGAAAGCTGAAGAAGCAGGAGCTGAAGAAGCACGTCTCCTTTTGGAGTCTGAAAGCTCTGGCTTAACATTCAGACTTGCTGTTTAAGCCTGCTTGTGTTGCACATGATTTGCAACACAGTCTCGCCCAAAACACTGCCTAGGATCCTGCACAAATCCTGTATGCGGCGTGCAGGGCGAGGAATACCTGCATCACCAAGGATAAAGACTCCTGCAAAATTTCCTGCTTCCTTTCAACCGGATTGCAGCTCCTGCACTGGAAAGCCCTGGTTTTACCACTGGCTGAGCGTGGGGTTCTCCTCTGCAGCGGCTGTGATCAATTAAAGCCTTTTTCCCTTTGTGCTTCCACTGACAATAGCTCTGGCAGCACCACCCGCTGCTCTGCATCTGGGCTGAGGGAGGGGCTGCATTTCTCTCCCTGGGTTAATCCTTGTTGCCAAACCACCTTCCTTCACCCCTGCATTTCAGGCTCAGCCTGTGATGCTGTCAGCAGAAATCTTAACAGCCACATCCAGCCGAGCGGTCGATTTTGCCTAAATGCTCCTTTACAAATTCCCGTTTTGGGGGCGCCTCCTAAAAGCACAGGTGTGTGCAGGTCAGAACTAACTCCTGGCACAGCTCTGCAGTCGTGACCGGGCACTCCTCATGTCAGAGGTGTAAGCGATTACACCGGCAGCGTTGGAGTGAACACACAGCACAGAGCATCACTACAAAAGAGCCAGGAGTGCAAAACAGAGATTCCCACCTAAATGGAGCTTAGGGAAGCAGTGTAAAGAGGATTCTGACCCACAGCACAATGATTAATATCTGTTCCTGCAAAAAATGCTGTACACTTCCAGGTTCTTGAATATAAAAGGCAGCAGAGCTGTATCCCATGAAAAAGCGGGGTATCGGGGTGTTAGCAGTGGAAAAGGATGTGTTCACCAACCGAATCTTCTCCTATTTAACGCCCCAATGTCTCACTGAACTCTGTGACTAAGTAGTAACGCAAAGAAGTTTTAAAAATCCAGATGGCTACACCAGGCAGAAACTGTTAGCTGCAATTTGAGTGAGGACATGGGGAGTCTGGGATCCCCAATTTTGGGTAGAGACATTTTTCTACCAAGTGGCACAACCTGTGCGATTACCCGAAATCATCAATGCCACTGATGGCCAGTTCCCTCCTCAGGGAGCTCAAAGCAGCAGAACTGTTGCACAAAGGGTATCTATCGTATCTTTATTTACATATCATGGAAACACACATGCAACATGTCACAGGATTTACTACAGCCTGTCCCTATCTCCCGTTATCAAAAACTTGATTTTTGGCTCACGAGGAAAACTATCCCTTCCCCAGAAAGCTCCTAAGAATAACCATTACAAATAACCGACTCGGCAGGATAGGTAAATGAGTGAAAGCTGCAGGCTGGGATGTCTTGCTGCATCCGTGCAGAAACCAGGTCGTTCTCCGGAAGCAAGAAAGGGAGGAAGGGGTGGGACTGGATGGTCCCAAAGAAGAGCAGCAGGACACTGGTAGTGTCTGACAGCTGGGGAGGAGCTGTCTGAGGCACACAGAGAGCTCTGTCCGAGGGTCCCCTCTCACCTGAGCAGCCGATCCGCTTCCCCTCTTGGATCTCACCTGGAGGCTGCAGCCTCCTGTCCTCTAGGAACCTCTGATCCTTAAGGAGGATCCACCTTTCCTCCCAAGCAGTAGTTAAGGGGTGAAGTTTAAGGTCATGTCCTCTTGGACCTGAAGGATCTTTTATCTTTTGCCTCTGTTGAGAGGAGATGGAACTGCAGAGCCTTCTCCCACTGGGACCATCGCAATGGTACTCGTGATCATCTCTTACCACCCGCCAAAGGGGGGCCCACCTTAGTGGCAGGAATGGGCTGAGGGAAGGGAGGGGGGATGCCGTCCTGGTCCGGAAAAGACTGAGGCCACTCTGTAACTAACAGGAGTTTCAGTCTCGTCGGAGCCTGGCGTGCTCAGAGCCTGCAGCTTCAGCCATTGCCTGCCCCTTCCCTCTAACCCCATCGCTGGGTACGAGCCGTCGGACACCACCCAGGCAGGAGTCCCGCCTCCTAAACATTGATGAACGACCCCTGCTCTCCGTTGGCCGACTGGGGCTCCACACAGCGCCCTTTCCTCCGCGTCACTCTTCTGTTCCGGTGGAATTTGGCGTAACAGCGGAGCCCTACGGGAAAGACACAAGTGAGCGGGAGGGACTGGGGCTCAGCAACAGCAAACAAGCGGCTCCAGCCTCCATTCGGGGCAGAGCTTCCTGCCGCAGGGCCGGTCCCAGGGCTGGGTGTCAAACGAGGTGGCCGGGAAATGCCTCACAGGGGCAGGGCATGTTGTTTTTTTGGGCTCTGCTATTGTTTGGCTCATGTTCTGGTTTGGCATTCACTGGCTCAGGCAGGAGGTTTCACTGGCTTCTTGAAACACCACTGAATGACCCTCTTTGTTCCCAGGGATTTTATGGAAACCCTGCTCGCTTTCCCCTTATTACTTGCCATTACTGTTCAAGCGATCTCCCCCCTGGGTAATTACCACAGACTTAACGAGCAGCAGCAACGCCTGGGGAGCTCCCCGCACTATTTATTTCCCTAAAGCTCCAAGAGAGGAGGAAAGAGACTCGGCAGCATTATTTCTGGGAGGTCTGATGCAAAGCTTGCTGCTCATCTCCTTCGGTTTCTCTGTTCTGGATGCTCGATGTGCAAGGTCTGAAGGAAGCTATTTGATAGAGTGTTGGTGAATACCGAGCGGGGAGAAAGGCATTTTATTTGTAAAAAACCCACCAGCACATATTGTCCCGTGGCAGTGGCATGCAGTGAGGGCTCTGATCAGGGTAACTCATCGGTTTCTGGCACTGGTGGGTTTATCTTTTGGTGTCTGACTTTGCTACACCAGAACACGTAGCTATTTGGGCCAGGGAGGACACAGCCTAAGTGTGTGCAATTCTCACAAAACCCCTATTTTCAGCAGCCCAGGCTCAGGCCACTGGAGTTGGCAGGATCCTGGAAACTGCAACTCTTCCTTCCAGAGCAGGCAGCAGATGGCAACAGTGCCAGCAGCCCTAGGCTGGGGATTTACAGCTTTTATGATAAAACGGCCCAAAAACTGTCCCCGAGTACCCAGGAGACCCAGCCTGTGTCGCAGGTCACCGAGCAGCCTTTTGGGGTGCCTGTCCCGGGGCTCTGCTGAGACCGGCTACCTTGAAGTTGGGTTTCTGCCGTCATCACTAATCCTCCCAGGGCAACCTGGCCTCCTAGAAGCAGATCAGAGCTCTGCTCTTCTCCAAGTGTCCTGGCTGTCTTCTCTGGACCCTGCACCTCTGGGATCTTTTCAGTGCTACAGACGCTGCACGTTTGGCAGCAGGGCTGAGGGCAGCCCTCGTCAGGCTTGCAGAAGCATTTTTCGAGGTTAATCTACCAAAACTTTGTCTTTGATGAGGACGTTCAACTGTTACACCACACAGCCAAGGTTAGAACTCCAGGAAAGCAGTCTGCTTAAACTGGGCAAAAAGCAGGTGAATGACCTGGTCAACACCACGAGGTGCCTAACACAGGTCACAGAACTTGGCAACCAGGGTTTTGTTCTGGCAGTCAAGACCCAGTGCCTGGAGCTGGTTCTGAACACGTGCAGACAAGAGCAGCGCCTTTCAGCATGTTTGTAACCCAGCTGTCTGCTAAGGGCTGCTCTGGATTCTTCAAAAGCGGTCTGAAGAAACAAAAAGTCTGTGTCCTGTCCACACCTACTAAATTGCTATGAGTCCAGTTCAAATTAGCTTGGAAAGCTATTTTAGGTTATGTAAAACAAGGATAGCAATTTGTTTTTATGATCTGTGACACTTGGAAGCACCACTGAAATGTTACTACATTATGACTTCTGTGAGGTTTGCAGATATTGGGACTTCTGTTTTCAAGAGGGAATCATCGAAACCTGGAATGGCCTGGACTGGAAGGGACCTTAGAGATCATCTAGTCCAACCTCCCTGTCACGGGCAGGGACGCCTCTCAACTAGATCAGGCTACCCAAGGCTCCGTCCAACCTCCCCCTCTACAGGGGGCAGCCACAACATCTCAGGGCAATTTATTCCAAAGTCTTGCCGCCCTCGTACTGAAGAATTTCTTCCTAAGATCTAATCTAAATCTATTCTCCTTCAACTTAAACCCATTTCCCCTTGTCCTATCACTGGACACTCTTGTAAAAAGTCCCTCTCCAGCCTTCTTGTAGGTTCCCTTCAACAAGATGCTCTAGATGGCTCAATGCTCATTGTGAAACAGCGGAAGGGAAGGGCTAAGAGCAGCAGAGATTGGCTCCTTTTTTCACACGGAAACCGCCGTCCCGAGCCAACACAGCCAGCTTCGAGGCTGGCTGGGAGGAGGGGACCAAGGCGCTGAACTCACCTTCAGTGCACATGCAGTCGTCGTAACATTTGTTGTTGAGGCCTCGGTTGTGGGGTTTGCAGAGGTGCTCGCGCAGGTCGCAGCACGAGCCTGGGGCACAGGAACACGGGTCAGCACAGCTCGTCCATCCCCTCCCCTGAAGGGCCACTGGCACCCACCGCAGGCTGTGTGGTACGGGCATCACTCGCTCCCACAAACCACCCCGAGAGCCTCTGCCCTTCCCCCTGCACCCCACTTCCCACCAGCGTTAGAAATCAGGGTACTTGTGTTAGAACCTGAGCTGGGTTTCAGACAATCTCGTGTTTGGAGAAACGACTCTATGCAGCCGATCCTGACCTGGGAAGCAGTCGAGGTGATGGTCGCACGGCTCTCCTTCTGCTGTTGTGGTGTCGTTTCCGCTGTTGGGGCTCTTACTGCGGCGTTTGTCTACGGAAAAAAAAACCCAAACAGATGCTGATAGAAAATTTCATGCTAATGTTTTATTTTGAAGGCTGTATTGTTCCAGGGTAAAAATAGCCTCAGACTTCAAGAGTTTGAACTCTAAACCTTCATAGTCTGGTCTTCTACCTAGTTCTCAACCCTCTACCTTTTTTCCTCTGCCCTCAAACTACGCATCCAAAATGAGAAACATTCTGAAACTGAGCTCAAAACACAAGCAGCTTTATGCTTTTCCATGGGACCAGCCTTACAGAATGACTTTTGGGGAGGAGGTCAGGGAGGTTTAGCACCTTTCTTTTTAGCAGACGGCCACATTTCTGGTTTGAGATCCTCATAATCCGTCCAGTCGAAGAGTGCCATGTCCAGGGTGGGCATCACGTCCCCATCTTGCCTGGGACGCGCCTGCAAACCACAAGAAACCAAAGAGACACCAGGTGACACTTCTGTAGGGACACCAAAGCCTTCGCAAATTTTCCTGGTGCCTTTAGACCTAAAAAAGGTTTTATGATTTCCACCCTGCTCCTCTCCTCTCTTGTCCCCTGGGGCTCCTTGGCATCTCATTTGCAAAAGGGAGAAGCTTGCCTGTGTTGCAGCTGAAGAGGGAAGTTTCCGCTGCTTCTATGTGAGGACAAAAGGTGAGCAAGGAGCATCGGGATGTCACAGAGAATGGCCCAGGTTGGAAGGGATCTTAGAGATCATCGAATCCAACCTCCCTGTCACGGGCAGGGACGCCACCGATGTGCTGCCCTCTCCAGCCAAGGTCCCTGAAGCTGAATGAAGGCGAGAGAGAGGTGGGCAAGGGGAGAGAAGCAGCTAAAGGAATTGTTTATGAAGAGTTGTTTAGATGTCTCCGAGAGAGAGAGAGCTGCTTTTAAGGGAAGGCTTTGATGTTAAGCAAACACTTCTATCTGGGGGAAAAAGAAAAGGAAAAAAAAGGAAACTGGACCTTATCTGCTGGAGATTTGCCTGCACCAGAGGCACAGCACCTCACCAGCTGCCTCCTTACCTGTGACCGAGGTGACGTGGCTGGAAGAGCAGGAGGTTCTTCTGTGGAAACAGCCGGTTCCAGCGCAGCGATGAGCAGTGGGCTGGGGGTCAGACTCATAGCTTCCTCTGCCTGCAGGTTTCGAAACTGTTCTTCAAAGCTCTCGGGTTTCTTGTACAGGGAGCTCGGCCCAGCAGCAGGAGTCCTCCCTGCAGAAAGCAATGGGTACAGCAGCGCTGGCTTTCTCACCCCTTTTCTCTCCGTGTGCCCCAGATCTGAGTGAAAGGCATTTGGATCTCCTCCAGCCACCGGCCGGTGGTCTGTCACTTTGAGCTGCTGTTTAGACCCACGTAAAACAGAGTCGTGTGCTATTAAAGTAAAGTGAGATCAGGTCCAGGATATATGCATCCTGATTTTCACACCCTCGTCACACGTAATCACACCTTCTTGAAGATACGTCTCTCTCTCTTTCTCTTAAAAGGCAAATGATTTCTTCTTCAGGTCTCAAGAGTACAAAATGTACTCATCTAACCATTTTTAAACCAATACATTAAGCTGCTGAAAATACCTATGAACACATTTTTATCTGGTTTTAGTGGCTTATTTCAATTTAGCTTGCCAGGATCTACCTAACTTGAAATAACAATATCTTCACATCCTGAACCCTGCTTCTCCTAATTATTAATTTAAATGTAAACCTTAAGTTAAAAAAAGGGAACCGGGCTCTGCAAATTCTGCTTCGAACCAGCTTTGTTCGATCTCTTCTCTATTGCCTGATGCGAGTTATTGAGTCAGTCCCCCGAGAAAACAGGAGATCTTACTGATGCTGGGAGGAATGAGAGCTGGGACTCGGGGATGCTGACACCCAGCTTGTCAGGATTGACACAAATTGCCTGAATTTAACAGAACACTGAGCACACACACCACGCACCCCCACTCTGCAAAGGGAAGCGGTCCCGGCCAAAGCCAAGCACCATTTAAATGGAATTAGTGCAATTTCACCTACGCAATTTTATTTTTTTTGATGGTTCAGCATAAACATAGAAACTCTGATGAGGAAAAGAAAAACAGATCTTCAAATGAAGTAAGGGGTTTTGTATGATTTCTAGTTCTGGTCATGTTTTAAAGTCAGTGGCGAGATTGAGCACGGCTGGGGTGTGTGTGTTCATAAACGGAACCATTTGCTAAAAAAGAAAACAAAAACAAAGCAGGCCACCCCAAAACAGCCCCTCAAGCCCTAGAAACTTTCCGAGCTGCCCCTCCAAGGCAAACCAGGCCATTTGCACAAAATTGCAGCCAGCAGTAAAAACCTCCGCTTCTGGAGGTCCCCTTTTTTCTCGTGCCTCCTTTGTTTGGCAGATTCGTCCCCAGAGCGGGCGCGCGTCCCCCACCCTGCACCCACCCACGGGGCTCAGCCCCAGCTGCTCCTTCTTGCCCTCACACAAGTGACCTGAGAGCCTCGAGCCTCCTCCGGAGCTCAAGATACCTCTGGGGGGCTTCAGCCCATCCCTGCGGCCGTGCCGCCGCCGCTCCCGGTTCTGCTTCTTTCCCCTCTCGGACCCAGGGGACTGGTTCTCCCTCTCAGGATGTGGGAGCTCCAAACCCAGGGACACGTCCTTGTTCTGTCT